CTGGCGCACTACCACAAGGCCAACCAGGACCCGCCGCACCCAAACCCCTTTCAGTACGACCTGAGCTTCGAGCAGGAGGAGTATGACATCCCCCGCATCCGCCAGCTCATCTACGAGCAAGCCTGCGCCTTCAACCCCCTATAAACCCCGCGATTACCCCTCGGTACACCACGATTCAGGAAACCTGGGTGGCAGTGTCGGTCGGAGAGGAGAGGGGAGTAGTGTGTGCCATACTAATCAATTTGCGTGTGGCGTACTGTATGTACTATGTGCTTCCGCGTGGCAACATGTTAGGGAGAATTCAATTTGGCACACATGTTCCTTCTGTCCTCGGCCCACATGAATGATGTGTGTGATTATCAGGTTTAGGTAGTACCTCCCACCTGTATTGCAGCTATGTATTGTCTCGTAGTCACAAGACCGTGTGGAATGTAGAATGTCTGTGCGCATATGTATTTATCTTTAGCTGTAGGTGTGTACAACTGGCACACCTAATCAACTTTCCAAACTCTGCACGTACCGTACATATCCACTGATGAAAGTGAGGCTGGACGCTACCGTATGAATGAATGTCAATGCAGTAGCCATGTGAGTAAGAGTTTATTTATCTATCAATCTCCATGTGTTGTACACACAGTACATGCATTATTCAATTAGAAATGGGATTTGTCTGTTTGTACAGAAACGGGTATTAGTGTTGATGCGGGCTGACGCGCCTGCAGAACGCAGCCTATGGTCGTTCTTGGACATCGAGGTTTTACAAATTCGCTGGTTCATGCAGCAGCAATTTCGAACGAGTCATGCTTGCTGTGACCATCAACAAGGTCTCTCGGCTTGTTGTCTGCCAGAGGTTTTCCCTGTGACTCTGCATTTCAGCAGGTAACGTCGACTTCCTGCCAGTCCAAGTTGCGGATTCTTGCGCTTGCATATCCTACACGCAAGGAGATGCCTGGTTCGATGCCGGCTTGTCTTACGCGTGTGGGAGGATGCAACTTCTATCCGTGTTATTCTGATGGCTTTCAAAGCAGTCATGAAGCCTCATCACTTCACGCATCATAAAGACTTCGTAAGGATTCTGTGAGCTCATTTCTCAGACGGAGGACAAACAATGATTTCCTTACAGCTGACGACCTGCGTTGTTTCCGACAAAGCCCTGATAGCCTCAGCTATTTCTCGTCCGACGGTTGAAAGCCATTCCTTTCTGAAGCTCAAGCAGCCAAGCGAAGTTTTCAAAACTCCAGCGCGCCTGCATCAGGAGGGTGCTTATCGTGTCTGTGAATTCATGAAGACGAAACACAGCATGGCTGCTGTTGAAGGACGAGCGACATTGACGAAATGTCACGCTTCTGACAGCAGTTCTGGAAGCGTCATTGTGGAAGATGAAGCACCGAAGACCTTGGCAATTGATACTGAAAGTCTTCCTGTAATCTATGACAGTGCTGGTGATCGTGAGCTCTTCCCCGTGGAAGGATATCCTGGCATATCCATGAAGTTTTTCCGTCCAACAACGGCAGTCTTCAAGTTCACAGCAGGTTTTATTGAGCCAGCTCATCATCACACCCTCACCCACGACGTATACCTGATTTCAGGACGCCAAATTGTTCAGAACGTGACCAAAGGAACCACCTTTGAAGTCAACGCTGGAGATTTCTTGTCCACGCCTGGAGGAGACGTTCACCGTGTGCTGTACCTGACAGATGCGGAGCTTTTTGCCAAGTTTGATGGAACAGATGCCATGGCTCTTCCTGAGAACAACAAGTTGGAGATAATTGAGACTGTGGAAGAGGCTAGAGAAGCCTTCGGTGACTGGATTCATCGTGTTGGTGAGATATGAGGTTGGTTAAAACCATGGTGTTAAATTTGTCATGTATATAACTCATTTCCTTCTTGCAGGTTTGACTGACGCTATGATATGATGATGCTGGAAATGGAGATTATGTATGCCATGATTGAAGCAAATGAGTATAATTATGCATGCAAATTCCGTACAGGCTCCACATACGGAAAGCAGGAGCAATTAAAAAGCAGATGAGGATGACAAGAATGGCTGACACTGTGAAGTGCTTTGGTGCTTTCGTGCATTGTGACAACATGAATGTGACAACATTGAGGTGCCTACCAGAAGCGGTTGTTTATTTGAGGTACTCTGTATGATATGTCAATTCTTGGAGGGTCTCCAGCTCCTTCCTCTTGACAGAATGTGTTGGATGCTGGTCATTGATGAAATTTTGGAATTACCATATTGTCCGTGATACCGTACATTCAGCTGTTGAATCGAAAGATAGAAACGAGGCGGATGCAGGATTCAGCAAGGACTGCTGATTGGGATTATTAAACAAGAACTATGGTGCAAACCAACAGCCATTTGAAGCCCAAGACCTGGAACGGAGAGGGAAGAGGGGATATGGTAAATAAGCGAGGGGTGGAGTGGAGGTGGAGGTACAGAAGGGCAGGTATGGGAGGAGTGGATAGGGCACAGGGGTGAGCAAAGGGGGAAAGAGAGTGAGCAGGGGGGAGAAGAGGGTGAGCAAAGGGGGAAAGAGATTGAGCAGGGGGGGGGAGGGGTTGAGCAAAGGGGAAAGCCAGTAAGCAGGGGGTAACGAGGGGTGTGAACAGGGGAAATGAGAGGGTATGGGGGGAAAAAGGGTTGAAGGGGAAAAGAGAGTTAACAGGGGGGAAAGATGGGTGAGTCCAGGGGGAAAGAGAGTGAGCATCGCGGGAGAGAGTGAGCAGGGAGGGAGAGAGTGAGCAGGGAGGGAGAGAGTGAGCAGGGGGGGAGAGAGCGAGCAGCGGGTAAGGGAGTGAGTAGGGGAATATAGGGGCGAGAAAAGGGGGAAATAGAGCGAGCAGGGGGAAAATGGGTGAGAAGAGGGGAAAGAAGGGTGAGAACAGGGGGAAGGAGAGTGAGCAGGGGGAAAGAGAGGGAGCAGGGAAGGAGAGAGTGAGCATGGGAGTAAGGGAGTGAGCCGGGGAAAAGAGGGGCGAGCAAAGGGGGAAAGAGAGCGAGAAGGGGGAAAATGGGTGAGAAAGGGGGAAAGTGGGATGAGAACAGGGGGAGTGAGCAGGGGGGAAGAGAGTGAGTAGGGGGATGGACAGTGAGCAGGGGGAAAGGGTTAAGTGAAGGGGGGAAGAGGGGTGAGAACAGGAGAGATGAGAGTGAAGGAATGGAGGGGTGCGAGGGAGTTGGGTAGGCTGGGAGGCCGGTACGATGGAACGGAGGAAGAGAGGAAGGGGATGATGGAAGGAGGTACTTCTGTGTGCGAGGATGTGGGTGAGAGTGAGCGTAGGGTGGGGGAATGGAGGGGATAAAGACGGGCAATGGGACGGGTAGAGAAGGCGATGGGCGGGGAAGCGAGGGCGACGGGCGGGGAAGCGATTGCGACGGGCGGGGAAGCGAGAATGAGCAGGGGGAAAGCGAAGGCGACGGGCTGGGGAAGCGAAGGCGACGCGCGGGGAAGCGAAGGCGACGGGGAGGGGGGAGGAGGAGCGAAGGCGACGCGCGGGGAAGCGAAGGCGACCGGGGGGGGGGAGAAGCGAAGGCGATGGGCTGGAAAAGAGAAGGCGACGGTCATCCGAAAGCGAAGGCGACGGGCGGAGCGAAGGCGACGGGATGGGGAAGCGAAGGCGACGACGCGGGCGACGGAAAGGGGAAGCGTGCGACATGGGGGAAGCGAGGGCGAGGGGAGGGTTACGCTTGGGTGAATGGGTGCGTTACGCTTGACCTGCATTTCAACACCAAATCTCATCGCACGCAGCACACTATCCTTGCACTTCACACTCGCATTCCGCGGCTGAGGTGACTTTTGCTAATGATTGATTGGCATGCATACAGGATGGAGAGGCTATGCTTGCTTGGAGAACTATTTTATGGAGATTGAAACGGGTTATGCATTCAGTCAGACAGCGTCGTTGACTTTCACAGTCAAGGTTCTGGATCTGCACTTGGGTGGATGCAGGAGGTTGAAGATGGAGGCCAGAAATTGAGAGAAATGAAATTGAGGGGCAACATTATAAGCGGAGCAGTCACTCACGTTACGGTGTACAATTCGAGTACCTGATGAGGGCGTTGCCCCGTTTGGGGGTTTGCGCCTTTCGGCTCCAAAAATTGCGGGTTGGCGCAAAGTAGGCACCCGCCCGACCAATGAGTGCTCATTGATGGGATGTCAGCACGATCCGCCGTCCCATACGGTCATTGGCGAATCACCTCAATCCCTCGACAAGGACGGTAACCTTGTTCATTGTCGCTGAGGGAGTTTGTGCTGCGAAAGCTGGTTGTGTTGAAGTACGTCGTGGGCTCATTGTGCTGCTATGTGCACATGTGGTTCGCGCGATTTTACAGCAGAGGCATATGAACGAGATCCTAACAGGATTTGGCGCAAGAGCCGCAGCAGTTGTGTACATGTGGTTCGCGCTTTTCCAGTTTTGCTGCTGCTGTCGGCTTCCGTGCATTCGCAAGAAGCCGTAACCAGTTTAGCTGAATCTAGAAGCCCTATTTTTCTTAGAAGACGTTCCCACTGATTCCCGTAGACCTAAGGCTACGCGACGAATTTCTCGTAGTGTCAGGGCAAGCTCACCCTTTCCGCGAGTCACTGCCAGTCAGGGCAAGCGCACCGCCATTCCGCGAGTCACTGCCAGTCGCCGCCATTAGTCGACATCCCACTGAGTCCCGTACACCTAAGTCTACGCGACGATTTCTCGTTGTGTCAGGGCAAGCGCACCTTTCCGCGAGTCACTGCCAGTCAGGGCAAGCGCAACCTTTGCGCGAGTCACCGCCAGTCCACAAAGCATGCAAGGACAAGGAGCGGGAGCGGAGAGTCCCGCGGTAGAGCGCGGGGGAGGGGGAGGGGGAAGGGGAGGGCGTGGCGGAGGCTGGGGCAGAGGCGGAGAGGGCATGTCAAAGCGGAAGAAACGACTGGTCGACCTCACGCCCGAGGAGGTCCGTGCTGAGACGAATTTCGAGGCTTATAAAAAACCACCTCAAATAATGAGGCGCCTCAAAGATGGACCTCACGCCCGAGGAGGTCCGTGGTGAGACGATTTTCGAGGCATAACAAAATCGCCTGAATGTCTGAGGTGCCTCAAAGGTTGACCTCACGCCTGAGGGGGTCCGTGCTGGAATCTGTCTCTTGATGGAGTCATGGCGTGTGAATGCGGCTCTGGCTCACACGCCTTGAGTTTCTCTGCCAGAGCGTGTGAATGCGGCTCTTGGTCAAGCTGTGATGGGAAATCTGTTACATCGTCTGTCGTTCTGCACTTTTCCGACATCTGCCACATGGGCCGGCAGAGGAACGCTCTTTGAGACGTCTCAAAACTCGTTCTGCACTTTTCCGACATCTGCCACATGGGCCGGCAGAGGAACGCTCTTCCTTCTGTCACGTTGTGATGGGAAAGCTGTCAGGTGTTTCTTTTTTCTGCCTCTCTGTTACCGTCTTTCGTTCTGCACTTTTCCGACATCTGCCACATGGGCCGGCAGAGGAACTCTCTTCCTTCTGTCCCTTCACCTGTCCCTGCCTTCATCACGTCACGTTCTCCCCCACCCGTCCCCCCTCCCCCCCCCACCTCCCCCCACCCCCTCTTTCCTCCGTTCTTATCCTACAGATCAACGAGATAGTGGCATTGAGAGGGGAGCTACCACAAGCAGTGGTGGGAGAACAATTCGCCTTGCCCCTTCCCCTCCCTTCCTATCCTACAGATCAACGAAATAGTGGCATTAAGGGGGAAGCTACCGCAAGCGGTGGTGGGGAAGCGGTTTGGGATAGAGCAGACGGATGTGAGCCAGATCCAGAGACAGCAGAAGGGGAAGCTCATGAGAGCTGATGATAAGCCGGTAAGGGAAGAAGGTAAGATATTTGATACTCTACGAACTAGCTGTCTGGATTCAAGCAGACGGATGTGAGCCAGATTCAGAGGCAGCAGAAGGGGAAGCTCATGCGAGCAGAAAAGCCGGTAAGGGAAATTGAAGATATGTTATATGATAATGGCTATAACAGAGCACACGGGCATCAAACAATTTCAGAGATTGCTGAAGGGGCAACTTATAAGGTGTGACGATAAACAGGTGATTCAATCAGATAATATTCTTTAATTAGAGCACTGTGAGCCGTTTGAGATAGAGGTACGCTTGTGCTTGCGCCTTAGACATGCGAAGGTTCACCTTTCTATTTTGTTCCAGTTTTCTTGCATCCATCTTCTCATACTCCCTACTTCTTCTCCCTCAATGGTACAACATTCTTCCATGTTCTCAGTCGGCTCAAATCACACGATCTCTTTTGTTAACCCCTGTTTGCTCTCTTCTTTCCTCCCCTCGTGTCCCTTCTTGTAGAGAGCCCGAGATGTGGAGGTGGTGCTACCTATTGTGTTCGGCAGCTGTGCCTTTTGGCTGGGGAAGAAGGCCGATGAGTAAGTTTCCACCTACCTTTTTATCTGCGAGATTCGCTCGGCAAGCAATACCTGCGCATGTGCAGGGGAACTCAATTAGTTTTTCACCCAATTTACCTGGGCGTTTTTCAACTTTGACAGCATTTCTTAGTTGGAATCACCAAGATTCCGCATGCTTTCATTGTTCCCCTTCTGTAGTATGCTTCTCTTCTCTGGTTTGTTTGAATGAATCCACCACCATCACCACCACCACCACCACCACCACCACATAGCCTCTCTCCCAGTTGGCCTGACGCTCTGTTGTCTGGCAATGCAATGAGCTTGCTGATTGGGTGAAGAAAACCTTGCTTTGCTTTCTCCTCCACTTTTCGTACCACAATTGTTCTAAGAAGCTTGAGTCCAAGAAGCATTTACTGATTCTTTCTACCATCACCACCCTGACTTTCTGGGTTCCCTCCACCACCCCATTAAACAGGAACGCCACACACAAGTGGACGGTGTATGTGCGGGCAGCTGATAACGGTGACCTGGGTAGTGTGGTGAAGAAGGTAGGTTGGTTCCAGAGAGGGTTGTGGGAAAGACGATATCGATGATTGAATAGCGAGAAATGTGGGTCGTGGGAAGGTGAGATCTATGAATATCTGCTGTAACTGAGGACAAATTTGAAGAATGAGGAATGAGGAATTTGAGGAATTTGAAGGCACTGGTCTCAGTCACTTTATAGCCCTTCAGCCTTCCTCCCTGCAAAGCACCCCCACCCAATTTCCTTCGCCCCAAATGTTTCTCAATTGATATATAGCTCCTTCGAGTGATTAGGCAGTGTTTCAGCTCCGTATTTACAGTGGTCAAACCCACATTATGTAGTGACTGGCCTTTCTGCTGTCAAAAAAATGCTGTTGAAAGTTTGAGATCTAATGTGCCCCTTTTTGCCTTCTCTGAACCCACCTTCCCCCAACCTCCCTCTTCTTATGCCGCGTCTTCTAAATAAACCTCCCCAAAGCTATCTTCTTATTCGCCTCCCTTTTATATACCTCACCCAAATTATCTCCCTTTTCCCACACACACCCCATCCCCCCAGCATCAGGTGGTGTTTCAGCTGCACCCAAGCTTCTCCAATCCGACCCGCATAGTGGAGCGGCCGCCCTTCATGCTGTCAGAGAGCGGCTGGGGCGAGTTTGAGTTCCACACCTTTCCCCTCTTTTCGCCTGTCATAAACTCATGCCTTTTCAACCTGCCTCTCCGTCTGCTGCTTTTCATAAACAAACATCCCACTATCTTTACCCCCCACACCCTCCCCCAACAAATACCCCAATGACCAGGTGGTGTTTCAGCTGCATCCGAGCTTCTCAAACCCAACCCGCATTGTGGAGCGGCCGCCCTTCATGCTGTCAGAGAGCGGCTGGGGCGAGTTTGAGATCGCCATGACCATTGTTTTCCATGCGGATGCTTCCGAAATGCCAGCTGAGCTGTTAGTTTATTCTCACCATCGGTTGTAACAATTTCTGTTTGCAACATCTACATCTAATTCTCGCTCATTATGCAAGAATTGTACAGGAACTAGAAGATCTCAGCATCCCATCCCATCCCCGTGCGCGTCCGTTGTTTTCCCTTCCAGCACACACATTGCATGCGTTTATACGCAGACAACAGCCCTCCCTCCCACTTAGTGTGTCAACATCCATTCGACAATATTGCCCTGCTCCTCATCCTTTCCTCCGACCCCCTCCTCTCATCTCCCTCCCCTTCCCCCCACCCTCCTGACTCCCCCTTTCCTCCCCCGCCCCAGCACCCATCACCTTCGGCTGTACCCAGAAGGCAGCGCTCCCAACCAGCCTCTCAGCACCAAGCGGCCTGTCGTGGCTGAGCAATACGATGAGCTGGTGTTCTGCGAGCCACAGGTGCGGTCTAACATCTCGGCGCTTGAAACAGGAGACTATTTGTTTCTGAGACAGGAGTGCAGTGACTGCCAGCCGCTCTACTTGTAACTGCCGTTCACACTTTCTCTCTAGCAACCCATCATACCTACCTCCAGATTGCGTTCTTCCATCGCATCCGCTCAAACCCCATGCTTTTCATTCATTGTTTATTTGCCTTCAAAGTTGTATCTTGTAACCGTGGTTACAATTTGTTTCTCTGGCAACCCGTTATGCCTACCTCCAGATTGCGTTCTTCCGTTGCATCCGGTCCAACCCCATGCTTCAAATTTATGGCATTTTTTTTACCGCCTCGAAAGTCGTATCTTGTAGCCGTTCACAATTTGTCGCTCTGGGAACCACCTCATGCCAGCCTCCAGATTTCTTTCTTCCATCGCATCCGCTCCAACCCCATGGTACGCATACACGGCTGTTAGTTTTTAAAGCGCCTTAAAAGTTGTATCTTGTAACCGTGGTTACATTTTGTTTCTCTGGCAACCACTTTATGCCTACCTCCAGATTGCGTTTTTCCATCGCATCCGCTCCAACCCCATGGTACGCATACACGGCAGTGAGGAGGCCATCACCGCCGCTGGTAACCATGCAGCAATACCTCAAGGTAGAGACTACTCTTTCAAATGTTTACATAACTAACTAATGTCCATGCAAGATTCCTGTTTGGATGTTTGATTCTTGAGCCCTCAAGTTTTCTCAGTAGAATTTCTGAACCTCTGGAGGCTGTGGCTCGTGACATTCTGTATTCCAATTTTCCTGTGCATTTTTGTGCAGATGGCTCCAGTTCGGCCCCTACAGATGCACGTAACCTGGAATCAGAGTTGCGAGGAGAGAATCGGGGGGACACTCTAGACCATCCCTTGTCGCAGTGGTTCCTGCAGTTCTCGGACGAACAAGAACTGACTGCCATAGCTGCTGCACGGAAGCAGGTAATGCTCTGAAGCACCCCAAAAGACCATCCCCTGTACCAGGAGTTTCTGCAATAGTCAAAATTGTCAAGAGGTAGCTGCGACGCTCTGCTTCTTTGAAGCAGTTAGAGTGAAATGCACTGACTTTAAGGACAGCTCAACCTTGTTACAATTCCACACATCAATGTGTAGAATTGGTACAAGCAGGGAGCACCTTTATTCCATGTTGTATCTGTAGTAGCATTGACTCTATTCCTTTCCACTTGCATCTCTCTCTGTGTGTGTGGGCAGGTTGCCACACTGACGGCCAAGCTAGAAGCTGAATATGCTTCTCTTGAATCTGAGTGTCAAGAACTCAAGCAAGGGTCTAGTCAACCAGGCTAATGTGAGCATTTGTGCCTGGCAGACATTTATCCTCACTTGAATCATAACATGTTGCATGCAGGTTTTTTTTGTACCAGTGAATTATGCCTGATCCAGGGAAGTTTGTTTCTTCAAGAAAATATAGAACCTGGAAGGTGAGAATCATGAAGGACTTTGCGATTGTTACAGCAACGAAGTCTGCGGGAGATTCGCCAATTTCAGTGGGATCTGCCACACAAACCGAGGGCACAACTTTTCGCACATCCCGCGCGCATCTTCCGAGTCTCTCTGTGTGCTGGCGCTGGTGCTCTCGAGGTTGGCGGGTTTGACCACGCGCACATCCCAATGGTTCATTGCACACCCCGACGCTAGGAGTAGCCGTTGGATGCGATGACTTCACCTGGCCAATCCCAAGGTACGGTGTGAGCTGCATTCCCTGACACCCAGATGTTTCAGGCGACTGGCCAAAGTTCAGGCGGAGGAAGGAGAGGTTGGCAGGAAATCCATTCATCATCAAATTTTGCATCCTCCACAGATTCGTGAAGTCCTCAGTGGTTTGTGTGTTCTAGGGTGGCTCAGAGGCTTTGCTATGGCTTGGTCTCGTCAGGCTCCTTAGATTCTTCATCGTTCGGCTCTATGCTTAATCGGCACACTGCTCTCGTGCTGTCGCGGATCTCGTTCATTAACCTAATATCATTCTCGGTTTCAGATCAGTTGCTATCAGCCATCACGATTCCCGCCGACCTCGTGTTTCTGTCACATTGCTAGGTGTATATCCGTTCCCCTCTCGCCTGGTTCCGTGACTCCTCGCGTTGTACCACATGGCGACGCCACAGCCACCGCAGACCGAACCCGGTCGGCTGGCCAAGCTAGTGGTCCCCACGCTAGAGAAAATCATCAAGAACGCATCGTGGCGGAAACACCAGAGGCTCGTACAAGACTGCAAGGGCCTGATAGAATGGTTCGCTAAGAATCCCAATCCAGGCGTGGAATGGCAGCCTCCGGCTCAAGACCCGACCGGCTACGTCAATCCCTTTGACGAATCTGCTTCAAAGGGAGGATCTTCTAGCGGAGCGTTTCCGGCTGGATTGTTCGACGACGGTAACCGGGTGGTGAAGATTAAGGATGCGGAGTTTATTATGGCTCCGCTTCACACGGCGTGCGAGACGCTCGCGGCGAAGGTGGTCGAGCCGACGCTGGATTGCCTTCAGAAGATGGTTGCGCATCAGCATTTGAGGGGAGAGATGGACGTTGGAGGGACCACGCGTGAAAGCAAGCTGCTGACACGGGTATGTTGCTTCTTCAGGAGGTAGGAAGTTGAGGGGACGTGAGCAGCTGGGTAAGATTCCTTGCAAGTTAACTTACGATAGGGTAATGTAATGATGGATGAAAGCCGATCACAGATCGAGAGCGAGTATTGACAGTAGACGAATGACATATTCACCTCAAATTACTTCGGACATCTGTGATGGCAGTAAATTTGGTGAGATCACACAAGCTTCATTGCGGATTCCCCTGTCTGTGGCTTCTGAATGCTTACCTTCATGGATGCGTGGATATGCTGTACGCAGGTCATGGAATCCGTGTGCAAGTGCTATGACATAGCAGACGAAGCAGTGGAGCTACTAGTCTTGAAGACTATGCTATCGGCCGTCACATCCACCTCGCTCCACGTGCACGGCGAGTGCGTACTCAAGGCTGTCCGCACTTGCTACAATATTTACCTCGGTAGTAAGGTCCCCGTTAATCAGACCACAGCCAAGGCGTCCCTCACGCAGATGCTCGTTATCGTGTTTCGGAGGATGGAAGCGGATTCGTCGACAGTTCCGGTTCAGCCAATCGTGGTCGCGGATTTAATGGAGCCATCGGATAGGCTAGCCTCGGACCAGAATGTAACGCAGTTCGTTCAGTCGTTCATAACGAAGGTAGTGCAGGATATCGAGGTAGCTTTTAACCCGGCGCATACTCAATCTCTCGACGATGGCGCGTTTGACCTGGCAGTAGCACCCATAAACTCGGCAGCCACCGACGGAAGCCTAGTCGAGGATAAGGACATGCTAGACGTTAAGTACTGGGACGTAAACATGCTTGCAGGCTCAGTCGCCGACCCAGCCAAGACCTTAGGCGGAGACGGAAAAGTAGTAACCGTGAAAGCCGGCGCGACTGCCGCTGTAGGGCTTCCTTCAGCCGCCGTAGCCACTGTTCCCGCGGGTTCTAGCGCAAATGGCGGCGGAAATCCCGCGGGAGCCATGGCGGGAGGCGGAGTGATCATTCCTGACGTGGATCCGGAAAAGGAAGGGGAATCGGAGGTGAAGATAACGAACAAGCTGCGGCGCGATGCGTTCCTGGTGTTCCGCGCGCTGTGCAAGCTGTCCATGAAGGCTCCCCCTGCGGAGGGGGTGGTGGATCCGTTCGCCGTGCGCGGCAAGGTGGTCTCGCTGGAGCTGCTGAAAATCTGTCTCGAAAACTCCGGCGCTGTCTTTCGCACCAATGAGAGGTGAGCCATATTGGGTTTTGGAACAAAGGGAGGCTCGTACTTTCCCCAAAGCCGTTTATCGCACCAACGAGAGATAAGTTCTCTGTGGCGTTCGAATGAGAGTTCCGATAGGGGTGGCATTGAAAAAGAGAATGAATTCTATTTGAGTTCTTGCCTTCGCACAACCTTGGCCTTCCTGAATAGCCGTTCATCCTTTCTCACCTCCCCCTCCCACACGATCCCCCCGTCATCTTTGTCCCCCGCTATCACACCTTTGCGACAAGTCTGAAGGGGCAGTGAGGAAGTGCCCGTGGCATGCATGTTATGATCGTGGGAAAGGGGGGCGGATTTCCTCCTGGGTTCACCTAGAAGCCCAAAAAAAAAAAAAAAAAAAAAAAAAAAGAGCATGTTATGATGCAACTGAACACCCCCCGCCCAACCCCACTGTTCAAGTTCCTTATGCGTTTCACGTGCTCTTGCCCCTCAACCCTCCCCCTCAACTCCCTCATTCACGCTCCGCTCCTGCTTTCAATCCCTCCCTTCCACCAGGTTCGTGGGCGCAGTGAAGCAGTACCTGTGCCTGTCGCTGCTCAAGAACTGCACCTCCTCCCTCATGTCCGTCTTCCAGCTCTCCTGCTCCATCTTCTTCTCCCTCCTCACGCGCTTCCGCTCCGTCCTCAAGGCTGAAATCGGCGTCTTCTTCCCCATGATCGTGCTGCGCGTGCTGGAAAACGTGGCGCATGCCAACTTCCAGCAGAAAATGATCGTGCTGAGGTTCCTGGAGAGGCTCTGCGTGGACCCGCAGATTCTGGTGGATATCTTTGCCAACTACGACTGCGACGTGGAGTCGACTGTCAGCATCTTCGAACGGTGAGCCAAGTTGACTTTTGAGGCACCTCAAAAGAGGTTCCTGGAGAGGCTCTGCGTGGACCCGCAGATTCTGGTGGATATCTTTGCCAACTACGACTGCGATGTGGAGTCGACTGTCAGCATCTTAGAACGGTGAGCTGGGTAGAATCAGATTGAATGTAGAATCAAAGGCGCTTAGTCCCCATCCTCCGTTCCCTCCTCCCACGCTACATTCCCCATACTCACCCATCTCCGTTCTGTCAGCCATTATCCTCACCCATTTCCTATACTCCAGCTTCCATCACCTATTCCGTTCTTTTTCATCATCATCTCCCCACCCTTCGTCCCTCTCCCCTCCCCATCACTCCTCCCGTATGGTTCAACCTTCTCCCAGAATGGTGAGCGGGCTGCTCAAGACAGCGCAGGGAGTGCCGCCCGGGGCGGACTCAACGCTGAACGCGGCCCAGGACCAGCAGCTGCGCCTGGCCGCCATCAAGTGCATGGTGGGGGTCCTGCGCTCCATGGGCTCCTGGACCAACCGCCAGCTCTGCCAACCCCCCATCACTTTTCTCCCCCTCATTTTTGTTTTCATCCCCCCATCCTTCCTCCTTCCCTCCCCTGCCTCACTCCTTCCCAGGATGGTGAGCGGGCTGCTCAAGACAGCGCAGGGAGTGCCGCCCGGGGCGGACTCAACACTAAACGCAGCCCAGGACCAGCAGCTGCGCCTGGCCGCCATCAAGTGCATGGTGGGGGTCCTGCGCTCCATGGGCTCCTGGACCAACCGCCAGCTCTGCGTCACCGCAGGCCCCAAAATCGCCGCGGAAATCGGTGCGGCTGCTGCAGCTGCAGCTGCGTCGGCGGCAGCAACAGCAGCGGCGGCTGCGGCGGCAGGGGAAGGGCCGGCTCCTGTGGCTGTTCCGGATCTTCTGTCTGGGGATTTGCTTCCGGATTTTGTGAATCCCAGGACGGGGGTCTTGCCTGTTGCGAAATCAGAGGAGGCTTTGGAGGAGGAGGCGCTTGGGGGGATGCCTGCGGCTGGGGCGAGCAGTGGAAATGAGATTTCGGAAGCCTCGATCCTGGAGCAGAGGCGGGCGTATAAGCTGGAGCTGCAGGAGGGGATAAACCTGTTCAACAAGAAGCCGAAAAAGGGGATAGATTTTCTGATCAAGGCGAAGAAACTGGGGGACGGTGCGGAGGAGATTGTTGCGTTTCTGCGCAAAACAGAGGGGCTGGATAAGACGATGATTGGAGATTTCTTAGGGGACAGGGACGACATGAGCATCAAGATCATGCATGCTTACATGGACTCGTACAACCTCTCTGTAAGTGATCAAGACGACGATTTTTTTCAGTCAGTAGGTTGCATTCTGCAAGTAAGGGTGTGGGATGCATATTGGTTTTATGCAGGTGGTCAATATGTGCAGCTTGCTGATATGTAATCTCCCCTCTCTCTCTCCCCTGTCCCCTCTCTCGTCTCCCCTCTCCCCTCTCCCCTCTCCCCTCTCCCCTCTCCCCTCTCCCCTCTCCCCTCTCCCCTCTCCCCTCTCCCCTCTCCCCTCTCCCCTCTCCCCTCTCCCCTCTCCCCTCTCCCCTCTCCCCTCTCCCCTCTACCCTCTCCCCCCTCCCCTCTCTCTTCTCCCCTCTTCCCTCTCCCCACCTTGCCTTCATTTTCTCCGTCAGGGAATGGATTTTGACGAGGCCATTCGGGCGGTGCTGCTGGGGTTCAGGCTGCCAGGCGAGGCACAGAAGATCGATCGAATAATGGAGAAGTTCTCTGAGCGCTACTGCCCTCTCCCCTTTTCTCCTCTCACCTCTCCCAATTCCCTTCTCCCCTCTCCCCATTCCCACGTTCCCCTCCCTCCTCTCCCCTCTCCCTTCTCCCTGCTCGTCGCCCCCCTCTATCTCTCCCCTCTATTCACCTGCATCTCCTCCACCAGGGAATGGACTTTGACGAGGCTATCAGAGCGGTGCTGCTGGGGTTCAGGCTGCCAGGCGAGGCGCAGAAGATTGATCGCATCATGGAGAAGTTTGCCGAGCGCTACTGCCCTCTCCCTTTCACCTCTCACCTCTCCCCTCTCCCCTCTCCCCTCTCCCCTCTCCCGTCTGCCCTCTTCCTTCTCCCCCCTCCCCTCTCCCCTCAACCCTCTCCCCTCTCCCCACCCTACCTTCACCTCTTCTACAGGGAATGGATTTTGACGAGGCCATTCGATCGGTGCTGCTGGGGTTCAGGCTGCCAGGCGAGGCACAGAAGATCGATCGCATTATGGAGAAGTTTGCTGAGCGATACTGCCGCTGGGCTGCAGTCATTCAGTAGAGCCCCTCACAAAACACTTTCCTTCTTCCTCTTTCCTCTCCTCTCCCCTCTCTCCCTTCTCCCATCTCTCCCCTCTACCCTCTTACTCCAACGCCTTCCGCCAGGGAATGGACTTTGATGAGGCTATTCGATCGGTGCTGCTGGGGTTCAGGCTGCCAGGCGAGGCACAGAAGATCGATCGCATCATGGAGAAGTTTGCTGAGCGCTACTGCCGCTGCAACCCCAAGGCGTTCACCAGCGCCGATACTGCCTACGTGCTCGCTTACTCTGTCATTATGCTCAACACCGATGCGCATAACCCAGGCGTCAAGACAAAGGTGAGTATGTGTGAGTGATGACACGATTTATCTGGTGCCTCAGAAGGCGTTTACGCGCACTGATACTGCCTACGTGCTCGTTTACTCTGTCATTATGCTCAACACGGATGCGCATAACCCAGGCATGAAGACCAAGGTGAGTGTGTGTAATGGTACGAATAGTGTTTAGCCTCAAAAGGTGTGCACGAGTGCCGGTACTGCCTGTGTGCTCGTATGGTACTCTGTCATCATGCTCAACACGGACGCTCATAACCCAGGCGTCAAGACTAAGGTGAGTGAGTGCATGTGATGATACGATTAATGTGGCGCCTCAAAAAGCTGTCATAGAGGCGGATGTGGCATTCCTGCTTGCTTACTCACTCGTACTCAAGCTTCATGCCCAACACAGACGCACACAACGCAACCCAGGCGTCCTTCCCTTCCACGCTCCCTCCCCTTCCAGGCCCCCTCCCCTTCCACGCCCCCTCCCCTTCCACACCTCCTCCCCTTCCACACCCCCTTCCCTTCCATTCCCCCTTCCCACCCATGCCCCATGCTTCCTCTCTTCTCAGATGAGCAAAGCCGACTTCCTGAAGAACAACCGCGGAATCGACGACAGGAAGGACATACCAGAGGAGTTTCTGGGCGGGCTGTACGACCGCATCACACGGAACGAGATCAAGATGAAGCCGGAGATCCTGGGGCCAGGAGGAGTGGCGTCGAAGGCTTCAGTGAGCAGCGCAGCAGGGAATGCGCTGCTGGGGCTGGAGAGCATTCGGAAGAGCAATCTTAATACTTCCTACATTTCCTCACCCTCTTCCCTTCCGTGCCCCGTTCCCTTCCCACCCATGCCTCCCGCTTCCCCCTTCGTAGATGAGCAAAGCAGACTTTCTGAAGAACAATCGCGGAATCGATGACGGGAAGGACATACCAGAGGAGTTTCTGGGCGGGCTGTACGACCGCATCACACGGAACGAGATCAAGATGAAGCCGGAGATCCTGGGGCCGGGCGGAGTGGCGTCCAAGGCTGCAGTGAACAGTGCGGCGGGCAACGCGCTGCTGGGGCTGGAAAGCATTCTGAACCTCATGTCGGGGCGCACACGGGCCACCACGGAGCTGGAGACGAGCGATGAGGTGGTGAAGCACATGCAGGAGCAGTTCCGTGCCAAGGCGGGCAAGTCAGGGTGAGCACTATGGGGGGAAGGTCAGGGTGAGCTCAGTAAGAGAGGACAAATCAGGGTGAGTGGTGTTCAAAGCTGCAGTGAGCAGTGCGGCAGGCAACGCGCTGCTGGGGCTGGAGAGCATTCTGAATCTCATGTCGGGACGCACACGGGCCACCACGGAGCTGGAGACGAGTGATGAGGTGGTGAAGCACATGCAGGAGCAGTTCCGTGCCAAGGCGGGCAAGTCAGGGTGAGTAGCAAGGGCGGGCAAGTCAGGATGAGTAGCAAGGGCGGGCAAGTCAGGGTGAGCATCAAGAAGGGAAAATTACGGTGAGCTCAGTAACAGGGGGGAATTAGGGTGAGTGGTGTCAAATATGCAGTGAGCAGTGCGGCAGGCAACGCGCTGCTGGGGCTGGAGAGCATTCTGAATCTCATGTCTGGACGCACACGGGCCACCACGGAGCTGGAGACGAGTGATGAGGTGGTGAAGCACATGCAGGAGCAGTTCCGTGCCAAGGCGGGCAAGTCAGGGTGAGTAGCAAGGGCGGGCAAGTCAGGGTGAGTAGCAAGGGCGGGCAAGTCAGGGTGAGTAGCAAGGGCGGGCAAGTCAGGGTGAGTAGCAAGGGCGGGCAAGTCAGGGTGAGCAGCAATGGGGGGAGGTCAACGTGGGTGAACGTTGGTTCTTACCCATGCTGGTTGCTTACTGGTTTTCTTCTTTGACCCACTCCGTCTGTCTCTCCATCCCCTCTCTCTTCATGCCTTCTTATTTCCATGGTCTCAGATCCGTGTTCTATGCAGCGTCAGACGTGCAGATCATCCGCCCCATGGTGGACGTGGTGTGGGCGCCCATGCTAGCCGCGTTCTCTGTGCCCCTGGAGACCACAGAGGAGGATGCTGTCACGGAGCAGTGCCTGGAGGGGTTCCGCTACGCCGTGCACGTGACGGCTGTTATCGGCATGCAGGTGAGGGGCATGCGAGGTGCATGTGGGGAAGGGATATGTGAGAGGCATGTGGCATGGGCATGAATGGAGGAGGATGCTGTCACGGAGCAGTGCCTGGAGGGGTTCCGATACGCCGTGCACTTCACTGCTGTTATTGGCATGCAGGTGAGAGTCATTTGAGGGGGCGTGTTAGAGGGCATGCGGGATTGAGTGGCATGTGGCACGGCCATGCAAGGGAGGAGTATGCTGTCACGGAGCAGTGCCTGGAGGGGTTCCGATACGCCACGTCACTGCTATTATCGGCATGCAGGTGAGGGGCTGTTGAGCGTCATGTGAGGGGTGGTGTGTGAGGCTGGGGCGTGTGAGGGCCAGTGGACTTGTGAGGGTGTGGCAATGCACGGCTTACCTTGTGCCTGTGAGGGAAGGAAGGATGCAGGGGGGGAGTTGGATTTCAGTGCGGGGCATGCCCCTGAGAGGCATGTTTCTTTTTGAAAGAACGCCGTTCCCCATCTGCTCCTCATCACCCTCCTCTCCTGTCTCCACCAACTCGCTGCCCAACCCACCAAATGCAAAGCAATGTGACGTGTGAGTCAACTCAAAGGTCCTCTATCTGCTTCTCATCAACCTCCTCTCCTTTTTTCCACCGTCTTGCTCCCCGACCCACCAGATGCAACGCGATGCGTTTATGACGTCTCTGGCCAAGTTTACGTCGCTGCACTCCGCAGCAGACATCAATTGTTACCTGCCCTTATCAACCTCCTTCGCCTTCTGCCCTTTCTCCATTGTCTCGCTGCCTGACCCACCAGATGCAACGCGATGCGTTTGTGACGTCTCTGGCCAAGTTCACGTCGCTGCACTCCGCGGCAGACATCAAGCAGAAGAACGTGGACGCCATCAAGGTGGGTGGGTGGTTGGGTGGGTGGGTGAGGTGGGCTTTTCCAGGTGCATTATGAGTCATTATGCAGTTCACGTCGCTGCACTCCGCGGCAGACATCAAGCAGAAGAACGTGGACGCCATCAAGGTGGGTGGAGTGGTGGGTGGGTGGGTGGGTGGGTGGGTGGGTGAGGTGGGCTTTTCCAGGTGCATTATGAGTCATTATGCAGTTCACGTCGCTGCACTCCGCGGCAGACATCAAGCAGAAGAACGTGGACGCCATCAAGGTGCGTGGTGGCTCGTCCAGGTGTTCATGAGTGGGTGAGGTGGGGGTGGCCTTGTGTGGGTCAAGATGAGCGGACTCGGAAGCAGCAGACATCAAGCAGAAGAACATGGACGCCATCAAGGTGGGTGATGGGTGGGTGTGTCAGGTGGGTGGGTGAGGTGGGTGGGTGGGTGGACGGGTGGGTGGGCAGGTGGGTGGGCTTGGGCAGGTGTAATATGAGCGGACCTGCGTTGTACAATTGCAAATTTCAGCAGACCTCAAGCTGAAGAATTTGGACGCCATCAAGGTGGGGGTGGATGGGTGGATGTGTCACCTCCAACCACCCCATTCACCTCCCGCTTTCCGCCGCATCTTTTCCCCCTCGCCCTTCCCCCTTTGCACTCCTCCCTCGACCCATTCCCCTACATCCAGTTTCTCCTGCTAATAGCAGAGGACGATGGCAACTACCTGCAGGACGCGTGGGAGCACGTGCTCACGCGCTACTTTGTCCCCCTTCCCTTTTCTGTGTCCGTCCCCCAACCCCCATTTCCCTTCTTCCAGTCCCTCCTGTTGGTGGCGGAGGACGACGGCAACTACCTGCAGGACGCGTGGGAGCACGTGCTCACGTGTGTGTCGCGCTACGAGCACCTCCACCGCATCGGCGAGGGCGCCCCCACCGACTCCCACTTCTTCTCCACCCCGCCCCTTTCCCTTCCAGTCACCCTCTCTCATACACCACCAGCTCATTCGTCTCCCACCCTTCCCCTGACCTTTTCCCCTTCACCCCTTCTCCGTTCTCTCATCCCCCGCCCCCCCCCCCCAACCCATCCCCCCGGCCAGTCCCTCCTGCTGGTAGCAGAGGACGATGGGAACTACCTGCAGGACGCATGGGAGCACGTGCTCACATGCGTGTCACGCTACGAGCACCTCCACCTCATCGGCGAGGGCGCCCCCACCGACTCCCACTTCTTCTCAGCCGCCCCCCTTTCCTGCCAGTCACCCTCCCTCAAACACAACCAACCCATTCACCTCCTGCTCCCCTCCCCCCATCTTTCCCCCTCGCCCTTCCCCTTTTTTTGCTCCTCCCCTCACCCATTCCCCCCCATCCAGAGCCTCTTACTAGTGGCAGAGGACGATGGCAACTACCTACAGGACGCATGGGAGCATGTGCTCACGTGTGTCTCACGCTGCGAGCACCTCCACCTCATCGGCGAGGGCGCCCCCACCGACTCCCACTTCTTCTCCGCCTCTCCCCTTTCCAGTCTCTCCCTCTCAAATACCACCACCCATTCACCTCCCACCCTTCCCCCACGTTTTTCGCTTCACCCCTTCCTTCGTCCCCCCTCCCCTTTCTGCGTTCCTCTTTCCCTCAACCCCCGCCCCCCTCCAGAGCCTCCTGATGGTGGCGGAGGATGACGGCAACTACCTGCAGGACGCGTGGGAGCATGTGCTCACATGCGTGTCACGCTACGAGCACCTCCACCTCATTGGCGAGGGCGCCCCCACCGACAGCCACTTCTTCTCTGCCGCGCCGCAGCTCCCCCCCCTCACCCAGCAGCAGCGCCCGCAGCCGTTGGACCCCCAGGGGAAGAGGGGCGGGGGGAGGGGGGTGGCGGCGGCAGCGTATGGGGGCGGGGGGGGGCATGGGGTGGGGGGAGGTGGGCAGAGGGAGATGGGTGCGGGAGCGCAGAGGGGGAGTGCGGCGGACGCTGGAACGCCGCGGGGGCAGGCGAAGAGGTTTGGCGAGGGAGGCGAGGCTCCCGCCTGGAAGAATGTGAGTTTGATTGAAGTGTAGTGAATTGCAACGTGTGCTGCTGTTTTTTTGGTACTGCGATTCAGTGATGTTACAAGTAATAAGGCTGTAATAATAATCGAGCTACCTTACTCCCCTCATCCCGTCTCTCCCCTCCCCTCCCCCCAGCTTCCTGGGAAGCTCAACCAGGCGAACAAGCTGGTGGGACGAGGGTCATAAAACTCTTAGCGCATCTCAATCTTCCCTTCTTTCCCCCCTCCCTTCCCTCTTCCCCCCCAGCTACCGGGTAGCTTTGTGAGTCAGTGAAGCTGGTGCGACGGGCTGATAAAATCCAATGATGCTACGGATAATAAGACTTTAACTGCCTTCCCCTCTCTCCTCCCTCCCGTCTCCACCCAGGTATCCGGGAAGCTGAACCAGGTGGAGAAGCTGGTGCGGCGAGGCTCATACGACTCTGGAGACGTCCCTCAAAACTCCTCCTCCCCTCCCCTCCCCACCCAGGTATCTGGTAAGCTGAACCAGGTGGAGAAGCTAGTGCGGCGAGGATCTTATTGGACGTCTCAACATTCCTTCTCGTGTTTTCACCCCCCTCTGCCTGCTGGCCTCCTCCCTCCCTGCCCTCCCCAACACCCAGGTGTCCGGAAAGATGAACCAGGTGGAGAAGCTGGTGCGGCGAGGATCTTATTGGACGTCTCAACATTCCTTCTCGTGTTTTCACCCCCCTCTGCCTGCTGGCCTCCTCCCTCCCTGCCCTCCCCAACACCCAGGTGTCCGGAAAGATGAACCAGGTGGAGAAGCTTGCGGCGAGGGTCATACGACTCATAGACGTTGTCTCCCCCCGCTCCCTGCCTGCCTGCCTTCTCCCTCCCTCCTCTCCTTTCTAATCCCCCCAGGTGTCCGGAAAGATGAACCAGGTGGAGAAGCTGGGGCGGCGAGGCTCATACGACTCTGGAGACGTCCCTCAAAACTCCTCCCCTCCTTCCCCTCCCCCCCCAGGTATCTGGGAAGATGAACCAGGTGGAGAAGTTGGTGAGGCGAGGGTCATACGACCCGCAGGGGGTGATCAGCGGAGGGCACACAGGGGTGGGCGTGGGTGTGTCCCTCTCGCATCTCTCCCCCGACCAGGTCAGTACCTTCTCTCTGAGAATCCAGATGTGGCTAGCCTGTGTGAGGTGTAGGTAGCAGCCACACGGGTGGGCGTGGGCGTGTCCCTCTCGCACCTCTCCCCCGACCAGGTCAGTGCGGTTTGTTGCCAGACCAGATGGCAGGGCGGAGCAATGTGAAATGCCAGTGGCAGCCACACGGGTGGGCGTGGGCGTGTCCCTCTCGTACCTCTCCCCCGACCAGGTCAGTCCTTCATTCACAGAAGCGAGATGGAGAAGTGAGAAGCGAGACGAGGCTAGCAGCTAGCCTGTGTGAGGTGTCAGTAACAGCCACAGGGGTGGGAAGTTGGGAACAGATGAGCTCTTTGTCATATCGCTGCCCGATCTGGTCAGTCCCGTGAGTTTCCAAAGAGCAGGGCGAGCAGGGCCAGCAGGGCTAGCTACATGCCATATATCTCCTTCCCAACACCATTCCCCCTTTCCCACGTTTCTCCTCCGCTTCTCTGCATCACAGGTGCAGCTGCTGGTGGCTAACCTGGGATTGCTGGAGCAGGTGGGGTCTGACGAGGTCTCTCGAACCATATGTTCCTTCTCCCAACCCCATTCCTCCTTCCGTCCATCGTTTCTGCCCCTGTCATCACGTGCACAACCACAGGTACAGCTGCTGGTGGCTAACCTGGGTCTGCTGGAGCAGGTGGGGTCTGACGAGGTCTCGCGCCTCTTCTCCCGCAGCGAGCGCCTCAACGGGCAGGCGATAGTGGAGTTCGTTAAAGCCCTCTGCAAGGTGTCTCTGGAGGAGCTGCGCTCGCCCACGGAACCCAGAGTCTACTCCCTGACCAAGATCGTCGAGATTGCGTGAGTACTCTTCCCCCCTTAGAAAGCACCATAAGAGGCAACGCCTCAACGCAGGCGATAGTGGAGTTCGTGAAGGCCCTCTGCAAGGTGTCTCTGGAGGAGCTGTGCTCGCCCACAGAGCCCAGAGTCTACTCCCTGACCAAGATCGTCGAGATTGCGTGAGTGCTCTTCCCCTCCCCCTAGCAAAGCCCTCTGACTTTTGAGTCGACTCAAAAGTCACCTCTTCCCCCTAGCAAGGCCCTCTGCAAGGTGTCGCTCGAGGAGCTGCGCTCGCCCACAGAGCCCAGGGTCTACTCCTTGACCAAGATCGTCGAGATTGCGTGAGTGCTTTCCTCTAGGCAGTACCTTTGCCTTAGAGGCAACAGCTCAACAGCCTCAATGGGCAGGCGATAGTGGAGTTCGTTAAAGCCCTCTGCAAGGTCTCTCTGGAGGAGCTGCGCTCGCCCCCAGAGCCCAGGGTCTACTCCTTGACCAAGATCGTGGAGATTGCGTGAGTGTTTTCCTCTAGGAGGCACGTGAGAGGCGAGCGAACGCCTCGACGGGCAGGCGGCAGTGGAGCTCGTGAGAGGTGGGGTCGGACGAGGTCTCTCGCCTCTTTTCCCGCAGCGAACGCCTCGACGGGCAGGCGATAGTGGAGTTCGTGAAAGCCCTCTGCAAGTTCCCACTCGAAGGCCCTAAACAAGATCCCACTCGAAGAGCTCCATTTGCAAATGCAAACTTTGCCTGGACTATTTTCCCTCATCCATACTGGGGATTTTGTGGGAGTGCCTTCCCCTGGGAAGGGAAGTGTGTTGGAGACGGCACAACGAGCAGAGCAGGCGACTGAAAAGAATTTGCTGAGACGTTCTGCAAGCTGGACAAGTGGCTGTTTTGAGTAGTGGCTGAAGTTGTGTGAGAGTGGCAGAGAATTAACTTAAGCTACATCCTCCCAACCTCCTTCTCTCTCACCCTCCCCAATTCTCCACCGTTACCCCTCTTTCTCCCTCGCGACTTCACGACCACCCATCCCCCCCCTTCCCCGCCCCCCCCCTTCCCCCCCCCCCCCCTCCCCCCCCCCCCTTCCCCCCCCTTCTCCCCCCCCCCCCTTCCTCCCCCGTCTCCTACCAGCCACTTCAACATGAGCCGAATTCGGCTCGTGTGGTCTCGCATCTGGGCCGTTCTCGCCGATTATTTCGTGACGGTGGGATGCATGCCGAACCTCTCAGTGGCCATGTATGCCATCGTTCCCCCCACCCCTCCCCTCCCCCCTCCCCCACCAGCCATTTCAACATGAGCCGAATTCGCCTCGTCTGGTCACGGATCTGGGCCGTTCTTGCCGATTACTTCGTGACCGTCGGATGCATGCCGAACCTCTCAGTGGCCATGTATGCCATTGACAGCCTGCGCCAGCTGGCCATGAAGTTCCTCGAGCGCGAGGAGCTGCCTCCTCCCACTGCCCCCTCCTCAACACTCCCCCTATTCCCCTCCCCCGTTCCCCCGACCCCTCCCCTCCCCCCTCCCCCACCAGCCATTTCAACATGAGCCGCATTCGCCTCGTCTGGTCGCGGATCTGGGCCGTCCTTGCCGACTACTTTGTGACGGTGGGATGCATGCCGAACCTCTCAGTGGCCATGTATGCCATTGACAGCCTGCGCCAGCTCGCCATGAAGTTCCTGGAGCGCGAGGAGCTGAGCAACTACAACTTCCAGAACGAGTTCCTGAAGCCGTTTGTGGTGGTCATGCGGCGCACCGCGAGTGTGGAGATTAGGGAGCTGATCATTCGCTGCGTGTCGCAGATGGTGTTTGCGCGCGTGGGGAATGTCAAGTCTGGATGGAAAATCATGTTCATGGTGAGTCAGATGATTGGTGGGGGGGGGGGGAGAGGAGGGGACCAGCGTGCGTGGAGATCCGAGAGCTGATCATCCGATGCGTAGCGAAGATGGTGTTTGCCCGCGTGGGGAACGTCAAGTCTTTGATACATCTCACAGCTTTATTGCTTTCCCCCTTTCTCGTGTCACAACCGTTCCCTCCATTCAGGTGTTCACCACCGCAGCAACCGACTACAACAAGAACATCGTCCTTCTTGCATTCAAGACAATCAAGAAGGTCGTCCGAGAGTACTTCCCCTACATCACGTTTTCAGACCTCTTAAAACTCTGCTGCCTCCCCTCCTCATCCCCGCATGTCTCCCCATTCAGGTGTTCACCACGGCAGCAACGGACGACAACAAGAACATTGTCCTTCTCGCCTTCGAGACAATCGAGAAGGTCGTACGAGAGTACTTCCCCTACATCACCGAAACCGAAACCACCACCTTCACAGACTGCGTCAACTGCCTCATCGCCTTCACCAACTCGCGCTTCAATAAAGACGTCTCCCTTAACGCTATAGCGTTCCTGCGCTTTTGTGCGCTGAAACTCGCCGAGGGGGACCTGGGGGCGACGGCACTGGAGAGGGAGAAAGGGCTGAGCCCCACTAAGGTGTCGCACCTGCCGGGGCATCCTGATGGGGAGGTGTTTACGGATAAGGACGACCACCTTTACTTCTGGTTCCCACTCCTTGCTGGTGAGTACCTGTGGGGTGTGTGCCCTATATAAAACCTCTCCCTTAACGCTATAGCATTCCTGTACTTCTGTGCACTCAAGCTGGCCGAGGGGGACCTGGGGGCAACTGCATTGGAGAGGGAGAAAGGGCTGAGCCCCACCAAGGTGTCGCACCTGCCGGGGCATACGGATGGGGAGGAGTTTACCGACAAGGACAATCACCTTTACTTCTGGTTCCCACTCCTTGCTGGTGAGTGCTTACCTATTGAGTGTACTTATAATGCTTCGTGTGTAGCTTTGTAAGGAGATGAGTGAGTTTATAGTCGACTCAAAACGTACCTGCCGGGGCATCCGGATGGGGAGGTGTTTACGGATAAGGACGACCACCTTTACTTCTGGTTCCCACTCCTTGCTGGTGAGTACCTGTTGAGTGGATTGGGACACTGTTGAGTGTACCTTGGTGCGGAGATGACTTTTGAGTCAACTCAAAACGCACTTGATGGGGTATCCTGGGAGCAACTGCAGTGGAGAGGGAGAAGGGGCTGAGCCCCACCAAGGTGTCGCACCTGCCGGGGCATCCGGATGGGGAGGAGTTTACAGACAAGGACGACCATCGCTACTTCTGGTTCCCACGCCTTGCTGGTGAGTGCTTGCTGAGTGTTGAGTGCCTTGGTGGGAGATTACCTTTGAGTCAACTAAGGTGTCGCACCTGCCGGGGCATCCGGATGGGGAGGAAGTTACAGATAAGGATGATCACCTTTACTTCTGGTTCCCGCTCCTTGCTGGTGAGTGCTTACCTGTTGTGTGGGTTTGAAATGTGTTGTTTGTATCTTGGTGAGGAGATGACTTCTCGCCTCCTTCCTCCACTCCCTCGCTCCGTTGTTCCCCCCTCCTCTCCTCCTCTCCTCCTCTCCACCACCAGGCCTTTCGGAGCTCACCTTCGACCCCCGGCCAGACATCCGAAAGAGTGCACTGGAGGTCTTGTTTGACAGGCCTTAGAGAAACCTCACCTCCATGCACCTGCCCCCCTGCCTCCCCTCCCCTGCCCCCCCATCCCTATCCACCATCACGCCTATCCGAGCTCACCTTTGAACCGCGGCCGGACATCAGAAAGAGTGCATTAGAGGTCCTCTTTGACACTCTCCGCTTCCACGGGCACATGTTCTCCTCTTTCCCTCTGTCCCTCGTCCCTTCCCTCCTCCCTAACCCCCATCCACACCAGGCCTCTCCGAGCTCACCTTTGATCCCCGGCCAGACATCCGAAAGAGCGCCTTAGAGGTCCTCTTTGACACGCTGCGCTTCCACGGCCACATGTTCTCCGCCGCCCTCTGGGAGCGCGTCTTCGAGTCCGTCCTCTTCCCCATCTTTGACCACGTCCGCCGCGCCTCCGAACTCGGGTGTTTGGGGTCCTAAAAACTCACTCCCTCCCTCTCTCGCTCCCTCGCTCCCTTGTTCCCTTCCCTCCTCCCCATCCCTATCCACACCAGGCCTGTCGGAGCTCACCTTTGATCCCCGGCCAGACATCCGAAAGAGTGCATTGGAGGTTCTCTTCGACACGCTGCGCTTCCACGGCCACATGTTCTCCGCCGCCCTCTGGGAGCGCGTCTTCGAGTCCGTCCTCTTCCCCATCTTTGACTACGTTCGCCGCGCCTCCGAACCCCAGCACGGCGAGACTGGTGGGATGATGCTCGGAGCAAAGCGCGGCGGCGGCAGCAGAGGAGGAGGGGAGCGAGGAGGGAAAGCAGGGAAGGGAGAGGCGGGAGGGGTAGGAGGAGGAGGGAAAGGGGCAGAGGGGGCAGGAGCAGATGGTGTGCCCATCCACAAGCATTCGCACCACAAGGGGGCGCCGCTTTCCCGCCACCCGTCCACGTCGGAAGACGAGCGGCTCCGGGCGGCGCGAAGCGGCAGTCCAGATCCCGTATCAGAACTTGAGATGGATGCCTGGCTGTATGAGACGTGCACTTTAGCGCTTCAGCTAGTAGTGGATCTCTTTGTGAAGTTTTACAGTAAAGTGAGTCCGCTTCTAGGGAAGATTCTCGCGCTGCTGACGTCGTTCATCCGCCGGCCACACCAGAGTCTAGCAGCGATTGGCGTGGCGGCGTTTGTGCGGCTCATGAGCAATGCAGGGGGACTGTTTTCCGAGGAGAAGTGGGATGAGGTTCTGAGAGCACTCAAGGAGACGACTGGAACAACCCTCCCTGACCTAGCTGGGGTGGTGAAGGCTGCAGATTTGGAGGATGATGAGGAGAGGGAGATGGAGCGGCAGCAGCAGATTCGGGAGGCCAAGAGGTTTGATTTTACGAGGGAGGAGGATGAGGAGGAGAAGAAGGAGCAGCATCAGCAGCTGGCTGCAGCGGTTGCAGAGGCAGTTGGTGCTGCTGCTGGGGGTGGTGGTGGTGCGGATGGTGGGGGGGATGGGGATGGAGGAGAGGAGGGGGGAGTGGAGGTTAAGAGGCCGATGACGCTTGCAGAAGCGGTGGCAGATGTGCGGTGCAAGATAGCAGTGCAGCTGCTGCTCGTGCAGGTGAGCCCTTGGATAGCAATACACCTGCTGCTCGTGCAGGTAAGCCCTCTGATTAGTCAACTCAGAAGCCACCACTTTGGCAGAAGCGGTGGCGGATGTGCGGTGCAAGATAGCAGTGCAGCTGCTGCTCGTGCAGGTAAGCCTTCTGTTGATCATGTGCTGGTGCAGGTAAGCCTTCTGTTGATCATGTGCTGGTGCAGGTAAGCCTTCTGTTTGTCATGTGCTGGTGCAGGTAAGCCTTCTGTTTGTCATGTGCTGGTGCAGGTAAGCCTTCTGTTTGTCATGTGCTGGTGCAGGTAAGCCTTCTGTTTGTCATGTGCTGGTGCAGGTAAGCCTTCTGTTTGTCATGTGCTGGTGCAGGTAAGCCTTCTGATAGCAGTGCAGCTGCTGTTGGTCCAGGTAAGCCCAGTCGACTCATCAGTCACCTCATTGGCAGAAGCGGTGGCGGATGTGCGGTGCAAGATAGCAGTGCAGCTGCTGCTCGTGCAGGTAAGCCTTCTGTTTGTCATGTGCTGGTGCAGGTAAGCCTTCTGTTTGTCATGTGCTGGTACAGGTAAGCCTTCTGTTTGTCATGTGCTGGTACAGGTAAGCCTTCTGTTTATCATGTGCTGGTACAGGTAAGCCTTCTGTTTGTCATGTGCTGGTGCAGGTAAGCCTTCTGTTTATCATGTGCTGGTACAGGTAAGCCTTCTGTTTATCATGTGCTGGTACAGGTAAGCCTTCTGATAGCAGTGCAGCTGCTGTTGGTCTAGGTCAGCCCGCTTGTCAGTCGACTCAAAAGTCACATCGTTGGCAGAAGCTGTGGCAGATGTGCGGTGCAAGATAGCAGTGCAGCTGCTGCTGGTGCAGGTGAGTCCTCTGCTTGCTGTGTGTAGGTAAGCTCTTCAATTTCTGTGTGCCACTCCTGTCACTCATGCTACTACCTTGAAGGATTCACCCGAAAGCCATCCCTTCCCTCCCGCCTTCCACTCTTCCCTCCTGCCTTCCACTCTTCCCCCCCCCCTCTCCCCCCCTCTCCCCCCCTCCCCCACTACTCCCAACACCCATCCAGACAATTACTGAGATATCCAGCATGCACGGAGCAGCCCTCTCCGCCCGGCACACCCTCATCCTCCTCCACTCCCCCTCCCTCCTGTTCCCTTCCTCCCAATCCCCCTTCTTATTCCCATCCAGACAATTACTGAGATATCCAGCATGCAGGGGGCAGCCGTCTCTGCTCCGCACACCCTCATCCTCCTCGATTCCCTTGTTCGCGGCTCTCAAAACCACGTCTCTCCAGAAAACAACGATAGCACTCCCTGCCTTCCCCTCCCTCCTGTTTCCCTCCTCTGGATTCCCAACACTCATCCAGGCAATGACTGAGATATTCAGCATGCACGGGGCAGCTCTTTCCGCCCCGCACACCCTCATTCTTCTCAACTCCCCCTCCCTCCTGTTCCCTCCCTCCCAATCCCACTTCTTGCTCCCATCCAGGCAATGACAGAGATATTCAGCATGCATGGCGCAGCTCTTTCCGCCCCGCACACCCTCATCCTCCTCGACTCGCTCCACCGAGTCGGCACGCACGCCCACGCCATCAATTCCCATCCGCTCCTCCCCCCCCCTGTCGGCCCCCTTACTTGCACCACTCAAAGCCATCTGCCATCTGGAAATGACAGTCAAACGACTTTTGAGGCGCCTCAGAAGGAAATGACAGTGAAACTCCCCTTTTTCCCCGCCCTCCTGCTCCCCTCCTTCCTATTCCCCTCCCATCCAGGCAATGACTGAAATCTTTAGCATGCACGGGGCAGCTCTTTCCGCCCCGCACACGCTCATCCTCCTCGACTCGCTCCACCGAGTCGGCACGCACGCCCACGCCATCAACTCCGATCGCCTGCTCCGCTCGCGCCTGCAAGCCCTCCACCTGGCCACTCAGATGCCCGACACATATTTCCCAAAACCAGGAAACAACAGTAAAACCCCGTTTTGTTCCTGCCCTTCTGATCCCCTCTTCCCATTCCCATTCCCCTCTTAACCAGGCAATGACGGAGATATTCAGCATGCACGGAGCGGCCCTCTCGGCTCCGCACACCCTCATTCTCCTCGACTCGCTCCACCGAGTCGGCACGCACGCCCACGCCATCAACTCCAATCGCCTGCTCCGCTCGTGCCTACAAGCCCTCCACCTGGCCACTCAGATGCCCGACCCGCCGCTGCTGAGGCTGGAGAGTGAGGCGCTGCACGCGTACCTCAGCCTGCTGCAGCGCCTGCCCCGGGAGAAGGCTCAGCTGGCTAAGGAAGTGGATGTTGAACTGAGGCTTGTCATCCTCTGTGAAGAGGTTCTCCGGGTACGCTCCTCTCTCTCGCTCTCTCCTTTCTCTTCCTTAGGGGGTCCTTCTGTGCGTGGAATGTACGTAGACTCCAGGCCTGCAAGCCCTCCACCTGGCCACGCAGATGCCCGACCCGCCGCTGCTGCGGTTAGAGAGTGAGGCGCTGCACGCGCCTTGGTCCACGCGCGCCTTGGTACCGCAGCCTGCTGCAGCGCCTGCCACGGGAGAAGGCTCAACTCGCGAAGGAAGTCGATGTGGAGCTCCGGTTGGTGATTCTCTGTGAAGAAGTGCTGCGGGTACGTGCTTCTTTCTTTCTTGTATAAGGGGTTGGTTTTGTGCGGGGAAGGTAGGCTACCCTTAGTGGCAGGGCTTGCCCAGCCTGCAAGCCCTCCACCTGGCCACTCAGATGCCCGACCCGCCGCTGCTGCGGTTAGAGAGTGAGGCGCTGCACGCGTACCTCAGCCTGCTGCAGCGCCTGCCACGGGAGAAGGCCCAGCTGGCTAAGGAAGTAGGTGTGGAATTGAGGCTTGTCATCCTCTGTGAAGAGGTTCTCCGGGTACGTGCTTCCCGTTGTCTCCTTCTCTTCTTTCCTTTTCTTTGTCCGAGGTGGGTTTCCCTGTGCATGGAAAGTAGGTAGGCTCGACGCTTCCCTATGGTAGGTGGGTTAGAGAGTGAGGCGCTGCATGCGTACCGCAGCCTGCTGCAGCGCCTGCCCCGGGAGAGGCGCAGCTGGCCAGGGAGGTAGACATGGAGCTCCGCCTTATGGTCCTCTGCGAGCAGGTCCTTCAGGTGAGTGCTTCTTTCTCGTTCTCTTCTGTCCTTCTTCCTTAACCCGTTGTGGGTTTCTACTCTTGCTGAAGAGTAGAGCATGCCTCGGCTCATCATCCTCTGCAAAGAGGTGCTTCGGGTACGTCACCATACCCTTTGGACACAGTGCATGTGTACAATATGGACACACTCAAGGATGGCTTATTATGATCCGCTTTCCTCCATCTGTTTCACCCTCGTTTAATTTGCTCTCCAGGTGTATGTGGGAACATCTCAAGGCAAGCTTGCTCTCATGACTGAAGACCCAAGAGGAGCAGACGCCCCGCCTCTCCCTCCCATTCCTCTTGCCGTACCTCTCGGCTCGGCTCGGCGCCGGGAGCTGGTGGCTCGGGCGCCGCTGGTGGTGGCCACGCTGCAGGCGGTTACCGCATTGAAGGATGCAGCGTTCAAGAAGCACCTGGCGAGGTTCTTCCCTTTGCTAGCGGATTTGGTGAGCAGCGAGCATGGATCGCCGGAAATTCAGGTTGCTTTGAGCAAGATGTTCTCGTCAAGGATTGGCCCTATTGTATTCTCTGTAGCTGAGTGAATTGTCTGAATATACGGTGTTAGCACTGCATCTGGTCTGGTCTGAATATTCTGTCACTGCATATTGGTTGACATGTGAGATAACTGTCAAATATAATAGTTATAGGCTGTAGTGAGTTGCATTCTAGAGGGTACAGATGCTAGGGTTTCCTATTTGTATCCAACACTTTGCTAGTTCATACATTCCGTTGTGTTTAGATTCTGAGATGGTATCAGAGGTGAACCTAGGAGTCGTAGGAGCGCCAGTGGAGGAGGAAACCGGGCTAGAGGCTAGGAGCTAAGTGCGACCCGGGTCGAAATCTAGTGATCGGAGCGAGAAGCGGCTGCCAACCGCGGAGTGAGAAGCCAGTAGCAGTACGAACGGTTTTAGCCCGGGGGACAGGGCGGTGGCTAGGTGAGAAGGGGCGGTTGGGACGTTAGAAGGAGGTGGCGCGTGGGTTAGGGCGCGGCCGTTGGCGAGGGCGTTGGTAGGGCGCGGGCTAAGGTGGGGGGGAGGGCTAAGGCGAGGGCGCGGGCCTAGGCGAGGGCGCGAGCTGGGGCGACGGGCTAGGGCGCGGGCCTGGACGACGGGCTAGGGCGCGGGCCTCGGCGACGGGCTAGGGCGTGGGCCTGGGCGACGGGCTAGGGCGCTGGCCTGGGCGATGGGCTAGGGCGCGGGCCTGGGCGACGGGCTAGGGCGCGGGCCTGGGCGACGGGCTAGGGCGCGGGCCTGGGCGACGAGCGAGGGCGCGGGCCTGGGCGACGGGCTAGGGCGCGAGCCTGGGCGACCTGCTAGGGCGCGGGCCTGGGCGACGGGCTAGGGCGCGGGCCTGGGTCGGTCGGGAGGGGGTCGGGAGACAGGGGCGCCTTGAGGGCACCAGACGCGTGGGCCCACAGGGTGGCGCCGTCCTGACGCTGACTGGTGAGGTAGCGCGTGGCCTGGCGCTGCCAGGTACTGAAATCGATCGGTCGCCCCTCCGCATCGAAACGAAGGCGGCGGGAGGAGTCCATATTGGACGATAGGCTAGGAACGGCGGAGGTGCTGGCGCAGGTGGCGCTAGCTCTGGGGGTGCTGGAGCTGGAGGTGCTGGCGCAGGTGGCGCTAGCTCTGGGGGTGCTGGAGCTGGAGGTGCTGGCACTGGAGGTGCTAGTTCTGGGGGTGCTGGAGTTGGAGGTCCTGGCACAGGAGGTGCTAGTTCTGGGGGTGCTGGAGCTGGAGGTGCTGGTTCTGGGGGTGCTGGTGCTGGAGGCGCTGGCACTGGAGGTGCTGGTTCTGAGGAGACTGGAGCTGGAGACACTGGTTCTGCGGAGTCCACTCCGCCTCCCCACCGTCACGACGCGCGTCTCCAGGCGGCCCGTCGGCGTGAGCGTGAGGAGCAGGTGTTGTTGGAGAGGGAGCGGCAGGAGTTGTGGCAGTTGGACCTGCTGGAGCAGCAGCAGCAGCAGCAGCAGCAGCAGCAGCAGCAGCAGCAGCAGCAGCAGCAGCAGCAGCAGCAGCACCAGCAGCAGCAGCAGCAGCAGCAGCAGCGGCAGCAGCAGCAGCAGCAGCGGCAGCAGCAGCAACCGCCGCCGCAGCAGCAGACACCGCCGCCGCCGCCGCGACCACCGCAGCTCCCTCTGGAGCGGCAGTTGTTCCCACCCGTGAGTGGCCTTCGGGACCTTGGTCTTCCCTCCTCTCCTCCTGTTCACACTCCGTCCCCTCCAGCGTTTGGTCCCACGTTTCCTCCTCCTGACGACAGTCCGGCGGTCTGGTCTTCTCCTCCGCCGCAGTCTCCTCCACCAGTTGTCCCACACTCTCGTGTCCGTCCCTGTCCTCCGCGTGCTCGTCACTCGTCTCCCGTTACCGACCTCCGCACTGCCCTCCTTTGTTCGTCTCTTCGTCTCCTCCTGAGTCCGTTCTCCCGTCTCCTCCTCCGTCCTCTCTCCCTGTCCCCCCTACTCCTATCACCAACTACTACCGTGCTGTTCGTCCTGTTGTCTCCCGTGTCCTCGCCACTCTTGTCACCGACTCTCGTTTCCCTCCGTCGTCTGTCTCGGCTCTCACTGCTGCTGTCACTGAGTTTGCTGCCGCCAGCCGCCTTGACTGCACCACCCGTGTGGTGCTAGCTCCTCCCTCCCGTCCTCTGTCCGTCGGGGGTGAGTTTGCCCTTGGCTGTGACGTCCTAGAGGACAGAGAGTCTGAGCTGGAGTACTGGGCAGCCGCTTCTCCCTCTGTCTGTGCCATGTTGCTATCCCCTGAGGGAGACCCCGACGCCCTTGACATACCGACTCCTCGTACTTACCGCGAGGCAATGTCAGGGGCGTGGGCCTCTCAGTGGAAAGCGGCTATGGCCTCGGAGTTAGCGTCTTGGAGATCCACAGGCACCTACGTCGACGCAGTTCCCCCTCCCAGGGCGAACGTAGTCGATGGCATGTGGATCTTCAAGGTGAAGCGGCCGCCTGGTTCACCGCCTGTGTTCAAGGCGCGCTACGTGGCTAGGGGTTTCAGTCAGCGTGAGGGAGTTGACTTCTTCCAGACCTTCGCCCCGACCCCGAAGATGACTACTCTTCAGGTGTTACTGCACGTAGCAGCACAGCGAGACTACGAGCTGCACTCCCTTGACTTCTCTACTGCGTTTCTCCAGGGCCGACTACACGAGGAGATCTGGCTGCGCCGCCCTCCTGGCTTCACTGACACCTTCCCACCTGGGACCCAGTGGAGCCTGAGACGGCCAGTCTACGGTCTCCGCCAGTCGCCCCGTGAGTGGCACGACACTCTTCGCTCCACGCACCTTGGGTTTTGTCCTTCCTCTGCCGACCCGTCGCTGTTTGTTCGCACTGGTTCCACTCCTTTCTTTATACTAGTGTACGTCGACGACTTGGTCTTTGCCACAGCAGACAGGGCAGCTCTGGCTCAGGTGAAGTCCGAACTGCAGAAGAGACACACGTGCACTGACCTAGGTGAACTGCAGCGCTACCTTGGCCTGCAGATCACCAGGGACAGAGCCGCTCGCACCATCACATTGACTCAGTCACACATGGTGCAGCAGGTCCTTCGGCGATTCGACTTCCAGTTCTCCACCAGACAGCCCACACCTCTTGCTGTTGACCACAGACTCACTGGCCCCTTTCCCGACGAGCCTTTTGAGCCCAGTGGTCCCTACGCAGAGCTGGTGGGCTGCCTCATGTACCTGATGACTTGTACTCGGCCGGACCTCGCCTTTCCCCTCAGCATCCTTTCTCGCTTTGTTGCGACTGGGAGACACCGTCTTGTCCACTGGACAGCTGCTGTGAGGGTGGCGAAGTACCTGGCGACCACATCAGGCATGGGGCTTGTGCTTGGAGGGACTCAGCCAGTGGCGTTGACTGGTCACTGCGACTCTTCCTACGCTGACGACGTGGAGACTCAGCGCTCGACTCAGGGTTACTGCTTCAGTCTGGGAGCTGGTGCTGTGTCGTGGAGGTCTACACGGTCGTCGTTTGTGGCTACTTCCAGTGCAGAGGCAGAGATCTACGCTGGTGCCATGGCGGCACAGGAGCTTCGCTGGTTGACCTTCTTGCTCGCCGACCTTGGTGAGCAGCCTCGCTCTGCACCGACCTTGTACGCTGACAACAAGGCCATGATCCTCCTCTGTCGAGAGCCTCGCCTGGAGAGCAGAGTGAAGCACATTGACGTGAGGTACTTCCTCCTGCGAGAGCTTCAGCGACGCGGCCAGGCACGCCTGGACTTTGTGGCCTCAGAGGCCAACACTGCAGACGTCTTCACCAAGGCCCTAGCACTTGGTGACCACCACAGGTTCTGTGTGCAGTTGGGGCTTGTTGAGGTAGGCCCTCGGTTGCTGTAGTCTTGTTGCTTGCTCTGCTTGTTGTGCTTTCCTATATATATCCTAGTGAACTCTTGAACTGGCCTTGTGACCGCTTGCTTGTGCTCGGAATTTGTGTGGTGTCCTTGAGATCCACCCTGAGCTTGTTTTGCTTCTTGCTGACTGGTCTTGTGACCGTTTCTCTGCCTTGCTTGTTTTTTATGCCCCTCACTTAGCCTATGGGGGTGTGTCAAAATATCAAATGTTGATATTTGTGATAGGCTGTAGTGAGGTGCTCTTTAGTGAGTACAAACATGTTAGGGTTTCCTATTTGTACCCCAACTCCTTTCTAGTCAAGAATTCCGTTGCATTCTAACTTTGAGATGGTATCACGAGTAGGTTAATTCCTCGTTACTTCCTAGCCCGCGCCCTCTCTAGCGCACCTCCGCGCCCTCCGCGCCCTCCGCGCCTTCGCCTCCGCGCCCTCCGCGCCCTCTCCGCGCCTTAGCACCCTCCTCCTCCG